TAATATATAAAGTGTGTTTATTTTTTTTTGGGGGGGGGGGGCATTTAGCCTTTTATTAGGATAGGACAGTATTTCAGGCAGGAAGCAAGGTGGGAGAGAGAGGGGGGATGGGATCGGGGAAGGTCTGCAAGCCGGGACTCAAACACGAGAAACACCAAAACACTACAGAGCTGTATTTCAGCGCGCTGCCCATGAGGCTACTGGTGCCATCAACTATACTTTATTTTTGACAAAATATCTACTGTTTCAGTCGTGACTGGACATTTCTGGTAGTGACAAATGTTTTGGTAGCAACCACATTACATTACAAAATTGTAACTCGCATACTAAAACATACTAAAATAAAATACAAAAAAAGTTGCATAACAGAAATAAAATTGTTTATTTCCCCCAAATAAAGGATTATGAGTTCCCTTTTGTCACTACCGAAACAATGATGAAATGTTTCAGTCGTGACTGTTTCGGTAGTGACAATTTTATGGAATAACACCCAAAAAACAATGATGAGACAAACGAAACGTCACCAAATGTTTTGGTTGTGACACTTTTAGATATTTTTGAGCCTACCTCAAAGAGGTTAATCAGCACATGGATACCTAGCACAGTTCTGAACAGTTGTAAACACATAAAAACTAAATGTTATGGAATATCACCCAAGAAAAGTGTGTAGTGACATTCCTTAAAGTTACACACAGGTTTTCATACTTTTAAAAACAATTTACCTCAAAATGATAGAATGAATGAATGAAGCATTTATATAGCGCTTTATTGTGTATTGTTGTACACCCAAAGCGCTTAACAATAATGGGGGGGGGGGGGGCACAGTAAAATTTCTGGATCATAAATTTAGGGCTGAAGTTAAAATCTCAAAACATTAGGTTTTCATACTTTTAAAAACAATTTACCTCAAAATGATAGAATGACTGAATGAAGCATTTATATAGCGCTTTATTGTGTATTGTTGTACACCCAAAGCGCTTAACAATAATGGGGGGGGGGGGGTCACAGTAATATTTCTGGATCATAAATTTAGGGCTGTAGTTAAAATCTCAAAACATTTTTTTAACATTAAAAGTGGCAATTTTAACAGGTTATAATAAAATGTCTGTCACGTTGAAAAACTCTTATTACTCTGCAACCTTACGATCGATTAAGTAAAACATTGGTGTGCATCTCCTTTTGATGACATCCTAACACAAACTGTGTGATTTGGCTGCATAAAACTATATTGCCACCAGCAGTCAATCATTTTCAGCAGCTAATAACAGCCAATCTGAATGGCCTACAATTATAAAAATGGACACATTCATACATTGTGTGAAAATGAGTGTGTTCTCATTGCTATGAAAACCAGCCACAAGGTGGCACTATATAAGCAACTATACGTTTTTTTGCTTATAACTTCCCAATTGTAAGGAACAGAATCAAAGATGTTTCTTCTGAATCCTCGCTTTAGTGTATATAAAAGTGAACTTGTGTGCAGAAAAGTTAACATTTCTAAAATCTTTGTACATATTGAGAACAATCATGCTTAGTTTCATGAATTCGATGCTCAGTGGGCTTACAGCAAATTATAAACTATTAGCCATTTAAACTGAAAGATGAAAGCTGTAATACTAATGTTGTCCACTAGCACAGTAAAATCATTTTTTATGTTTTTTTCTATCAGTTTCCATCACATTAAATGAATAAATGCATAGATCTTGTTCATTTTTATAACTATGATGTACTGCCAGTACAGTTTTATATTATTAGTGTATGTAGAAATATGTTAAATGCTTACAGATTATTAAATGTTTATTTAACTTTTATATGCCCAAAATAAAAATATTTGTCAAGCTGCCAGAAATCACTATAGCCAGCGAAATTAAAAATCAGATTTCCTCTAACAGAGTGCCTCTTAAGTATCTCATTCCAAAATCTACAAAGGCGGCTGCTTTTGGTCTAGTTCAGGCAGGCTGTTTCATGTGGCACTTCAATGGGCAGGGTTTGCGGATTCATTGTAGTAACATCTGTGGCTGTCAAAACGAAAACAGCAACAAGTATAATCACTACATTTTCACTATATGCTATGCAGAGGCGGACAAAGTACTCAACTCCATTACTTGAGTGAAAGTACAGATACTGCTGGTCAAATATTACTCCATTACAAGTAAAAGTTGTAAAAACAGATTTTTACTTAAGTAAAAGTACAGAAGTACTTGCTTTTAAAAGTACTTAAGTACCAAAAGTAAATTTCCTTTTTTATGTCAATGCACTGTTTTATTGTTGTATGTAATACTTGCAATACTTCTGAAGCAACTTAGAATACATTACACCTACTGAATACACTGACTAGCTTGTAGTATTCTTTGGAATAAAGAGCTTTTAGAATGTTAAAAACCTATGGGGGAAAAAAATTAACACCCCTACCCACCCCCACAAAAGCAGGATGGTAGTGAGCTCACACAGCTCTGACAGTGTGCACACATCTATGTGTAGCCATTCATCCACATTTGAACAGAGTGGACAGTGAAATCCTGTAAATACAGAGTGATAAGGAAGAAACTAAATCAAACCTGCTTTAAAACCCAGCAACACAACTGTAGCTGTACAACTTTACAACAGCAACACTGCTTTAACAAAAAAGCAAAACAGCCAGACTTATTTGCCATCAAAACAAACATTTTAAATGCTGTCTAATTGCTCTCGCTGTACTTTAATGTCACACACAGAACAGTCTGTGCAGCGCTGCTTCAAGTCCAACACCTTTTGTGTTATTTTGCACCCTCAGATTCTAGGTTTTCAAATAGTTGTATCTCAGCCAAATATAGTCCTACCCTAACAAACCATACATCAGAGGAAAGCTTATTTATTTTTTTTAAAATGTACCCTTATGACTGGTTTTGTGGTCCAGGGTCACATATGTTCTTTTCAGCAAAACTAAACATGATAAAATCCATTATACACACACACTGTATAAGCCATTACAAAAGCATTAAAATTACAGTTGATATTTTGGAGAATACAGTGCCTGCAAAACAGCAAATTACACTGAACATATCAAAACCACACACACACAAAAAAAGTTGTTTACCAAAATACATAACTGCACTTACTTGGCATGTAGCAAAGGGTCAAATGGGGGATGTTGGGCTCCATAAACATGCTGGATACTGTGAAAAAGAATAAGTGATAAGATGGATGTTTACAGGAAAAATCTTTATTTTTTTAACTCCCCATCATTATTTAGACGATATGAAAACTGGTTTGACAAGTCGAGAAGTAATGAAGCAAAACTACAAAACACAACAGAGTTATTCGATTTTTTTAATTTGTCACGTGTGTGTGTGTGTGTATCCACATTATATATACACACTACTTTAGTTATGAAGTTTTATAAAGTTGCTTTTGTTGCCATCACTACTTAAAACGCACCATAGTACTACTATGGTCTTATTTTAAGTACCATGTAAAAAGCATGGTATGTGAATACAATAATCATGCAGTATAATGGTATATATATCAAAATACTACAACTAATGTAGTGATACTATCATTGCACCAATCTGCACTTGTCTGTAAGTGTTGTCAAAAGAGGGGCCCAGCAGCCCATAGCTAACAGGCTAACACTATTAACACAGAGCTTTGATCGACATAACAGATATTATCACCACATACCCATTAATCACTCTCATGTCAGTGTTAGAAAAATATAATTATGATGATATAAACTTAATACATCTTCACTGACATCCATCTATGTGTTCAGCTAGCACACATCACATTAAAAGAAGATCAGATTTGAGTGACACGTGCTATTCTGAATATGTCGAGCTCCTCCGGTGAGATCTGGCGTTGAAAGATATTGTTCAATGAATTGCATCTATAATTAAACACACATAAATACACACACAGAGCTAACACATAGACATTAGCATGAACACGTCACACTCACTTCCCAGGAACCTTGGCTGTGTTTCTCTTCCAGAACTGTTTTTTGCTGCCGTCACCTGACATCTTTTGGCTTCAGAGTACTCGCTCATAAATGAAAGTGGCGAAATAAGCTGCTAAGTTGTGCAAAGTGTGCACGAATAGTTTATTTACACCTCAATTTCTCTTCGCAAACTCAGAGAGCCGCCATGTTGGTGCCGCCCACCGCACATTAGCGCGGCTGTGATTGGTTAAGGGGCCTCATGAGTGACTGCTGAACAGCCAATCACAAGTGGAAGTCTCTCCACGCCTCCTTCGGTTCCCTCACAGGCCTGTTCAAATGCTTGATGTTGTCTGTAAAGGAATGTTTAAACATAAAACACAAGAGGATGTTCACTAAATAAAACAATAAACAGCACAGCATTTGGAATGACAAAGACACAAAGTCAAAAGAGTGTTTAATAACAATAATAGGACATATTTTCAAAATATTGTTGAGATGCCTTTTTAGATAGGCCTACAATTTTGTTTATCTAGATCAATTAAATCAAAACATCACATGTTTCCAAAATAAAGAAAGCCGAAAGTAGACAAAATCAGTCACACATCTAAAAAAGAAAAAAGAAAAAAAACTCTCCCAAAATTATTCTATGTAATAACAGTACCAAAATAAATGTACAACAGTTTCGCCTTGCCTAATTATGACACAAATTGTGTCATTGTCATATGTACATTTCTTTAAGTAGGCTATAACTATTTCCTGAGTAGAATGAATTATGGTAATTAGAAAGATACTTGAAAGATACAATAAGGTATGAATATGGCAATAAAGCACAATGTTGACGGCACTGGTCGCTTTTTCCCATATAATGAATATGAATGAGGAAACCCCCTATACCACTACTTTGGAGAACTGAGAAGAAAAACTTCTGCTTTGCTTCTTCATGTCAATACATTTATTGAAGTAATACTGCTTGCACTTAAAGGAGTCCACCGTGGTGATCAGTGTTGGGGAAAGTTACTTTTAAAAGTAATGCATTACAATAAAAAAGTAACTAATCACGTTACTTAGTTACTTTTTATGGAAAGTAGCCTATTGCGTTGTGTTACTTTTGCGTTACTTTTTAAATCTGGGCAGGGCTTGCTTGTTTGTTTTTAAAATAAAAAAGTTATATTTTTTGGCAAATATAAAAGCTTTTCATACCAAACGTGAAATGAATAAGCCTCGGGCTGAAGGGAAAGTACATTTACGTCCGTACAGTAGAATGCAGAAGAAGACATTTCAACACACTTCAGCAATAAAAGAAATACACAAATGTTTGTCTAGAGTCATTTCTACTTATTAGTGGTTGAACTGGATCATCGAAGGCCAGAAGACATTGGTTAATAGAATGAGATTAAATACATAAAGGACATTTTTGTGTTGTTTAACATTTAATTATTGCAGGTTTGCGTCATATTCTGAGTTGCATTTATTCATTTTGAGGAAAACTGAATCTGTGTTATTTTTTTGTGAGTGATATGAATGAATGCATATTCATATTTATTTCAGAACTACAGTAACATCTGATTTCTCTCGACATGGGGACAGGAGAGCTGTCAGTCAATAAATTGAAAAAAGAAAAAAAAAAGTAACTTGCGTTACTTATTTGAAAAAGTAACTCGGATATTCTCTTGTAAATGAAAAAGTAATGCGTCACTTTACTAGTTACTTGAAAAAAAGTAATCTGATTACGTAACTCGCGTTACTTGTAATGCGTTACCCCCAACACTGATGGTGATAGCTAATAAATATATAATATATAATATATCCCGGCAAAGGATAAGTATCGCTTTTTCTCTCTCCTCGTTCCACTTCTGTTTCAGTTTTTTATAATCTATTTCTTACTATGTGTCAGTAAGTTGTTGCTATTTTAGCATGTGTGTTTGGCTCAGTGTTATTTTTTTAGGATTACTAATGAACTAATGTACTTTGATTTGTATTAGTTATCTATTTTAGTTTTAGTTACAGTTGTAGTAATGTTGTCATTTTATTAGTTTTTTTATTATGTCTATATAGGCTTTTTATTAAGTTTAAAGCGTCTGCTAAATGACTAAAAGTAAAAGTAAAAAGTAAAGTAAAAAAGCTAATAGCAAGAACATTATATTATATTACATTATTACATTGTTATATTATATCCATTAGCCTATATAACATAAGATGTACAGTATAAAAGTTCAATACGTTAAATATATGATGGAAGAAAACTGTTCTAGACGTTTTAATATTTTATAATATATATAAATGTACATATTGCATGCAATATATACCATCCGAGTGGCATAATATGTCATATATAATATAACTTTGTAAACAAAATAGTGTAGATCGCTAATTAACAAACAGTGCCACAATAAATGAATAAACAAACAAAGTATGCAATCACTCACATCTCTTTTTTTTTTTTTTTTTTTAAACATTTATTCAGAAATACAAGTGTGACAGAACATACGCCAAGGAAAAGAGCCAGGGGTTCAAGGATGGACCAAACAATATACAGCAATTACAAATCAAAAGAGAAAGAAAGAGTAGAAAAATAAATGAGGAAAAAATAAGATAAATAAAATAAACAGATCACACAACAACAAAACATACTCTTCCCTCAAAACACAAAATAATTATCAGATAAAAATGATACAAAAACACCAAAAAGTGAGCATACATTCAAAGTTTTAGTTGCCTGTTTGTTACAGGAGGTAGATAAAGATTTAATATCAATGTTAATATCTTCTTGAAAGTTTCATAACCTTGCATTAATCACTCACATCTCACCTCCTACAGTAGGATTGTGTGTGACGCATATCTCTCTGGCTCCTCCCACTTTATCAGGAAAGAGAAAACCGCTATATAGCCAACCTGCTTTGGAGAAAACGAACAACATTGTAGCGACTGTAGTATTTTTATAATACTGTAAAGCGTCGGGGCGGTATAGTATAACTCGTTTTGAAGATGAAAGTGAGATAACTAGTGTGTATTTGTTGTTAAGAGCAGAAATGGAGAAGCAGTCGCGTCTGTTGTGTTCTGAGCTGTGTGTTCAGCGCAGACTGTATGAGGTCACATTAAACTGCGCGATTCTCGCGTGGAAAGACATACAAGTCGCCAAAAAACACACCGGACGCGCCATATATGGAGCCGTCAAAGCGGGTGAGTTACATATCTAATACAATAATAACACTATAACATACACGGTACGCTGCTGCTGTTATTTGTTCTAGTGGTGTGTGTCTCAAAACTGACTCGCGCTCCTAGAAGACCGTAGTTTTAGGCGTCCTATGTAGCCTACAGTATGTACAGAGAAACACATAACGCAGCATTTTTGACCAGCTAACTATGATGACCCAAAAAGATACTACTGGATGACGTCTTTGATGCCCAAAAACAATGTCAGTGGTGCCCAAAAGGATGCTGATTATAAGACGTCTATGATTCTCAAAAGCGACTAATAAACACTACTGACTAGATATCTGAGTATGTAGTAGGCCTATATATCTGAATTGGAATGCTTCTGTGGTGCTCAAAAGCGTAATTTGTAACGTTATATAGGATGTCTGAAAGCCCTGCTGACTCAAAACACATAAATGATGCCTAGAAATACTGTGTTGTATGATGAATATTATGCATTCGGAAATAAAGGTCTATGATGTCCAAAACACCACTGACTCTGGACATGCTTATAATGCCAAAACAACTCTGCTCAGAATCTATGACATCCCAAAATGCTGTTGTAAGCACACATTTATGATGTCTAGAAATGAGCTTCTAAAATTTCTGGGATTCCCAAAAAATGCTGCGTTTTGTGCGCAATGAGTCCTCTGCACAATGTGACTTTGCTGCAGCCTGGTTTCGTCTGGTCAGAGGAGAACTGGCCCCCCGACTGAGCTTGGTTTCTCCCAAGGTTTTTTCTCCATTCTGTCACAGATGGAGTTTTGGTTCTTTGCCGCTGTCGCCTCTGGCTTGCTTAGTTGGGGACACTTCATTTCCAGCGATATCGTTGACATGATTGCACAGATACTATTTAAACTGAACTGAGCTGGATGATGACATCACTGAAGTCAATGATGAACTGCCTTTAACTGAAAAATTAGTGTTTATTATTATCACTTTGCATTATTGACACACTATTTTCCTAATTAATGCTGTACAGTTGCTTTGACACAATCTGTATTGTTAAAAGCGCTATATAAATAAATATGACTTGACTTGACTTGTATGGTGGCCAAAAATCCTGCTTACTCAGAACTCGTCTGAGGCCTAAACACGCGGTGTGGCAAAAAGCATTCACTGCTTTTTTTTTACAGTGAATGTTATGTAAAGTATCATGTGACCAGATGAGTTTCTTTACAGAATTTTTTTTTCTGTTCCTAGTGGGAACGGAGCACACACACACATACACTGTTGTGTGTGTAAAACAGTAAAGTTGTGTATAAAGAGTGTGTGAAGTAGGGTTGCACGATAAATCGAAATGGAATCGAGATCGCGATTCGACAGAAGCTGCGATTGTCATGCGTATCTTTCAGTGAAGCACGGTTCTGTGATCAGCAGTAAATCTCCATCCAAAGGCCAGAGGGCGCTCTCGCGCTGAAACTCCAAATACACCTTGCAGAAGAAACCCAGAAAATGCCTATCGCTGCAACTGAATAAACAGAAGATTCAACTGCTTTCATTGATTCAACGTGACTAATAAACACATGACTATGGCAATATACGGTTTATTTGAGTTCTTATTATTATAATTTTCATTAAAATAAAGTATATTTATAATGCAATGCCTTTATCACTGATTAAATACAATAAAAATTAAATACTATGAAATATGTTGCGTGCCTTATTCTGTGTAAGAAGCCACATCATCTCACAGAAGGATTTATTTCAAACACTCGACTGACATTAGAATCGCGCAATAAAATCGTCTGCGATTTATTTTATTTTTTTGCGTAACTTGTCAGTGAACTACGGCTATGTGTAGTAAATTCTGCTCCATCTGAAAGCACGTGATGATGATTTCCTGCTGATTACAGAACCGGCTTTTTTAACAAAATGCGCATGACAATCACATTCGATTAATCATGCAGCCCTAGTGTGAAGCATTCTCAGACTGTGCTGAAAGGTCAGAGAGGTCACTGATAATCTTGAGGAATTGGATAGTGTGTTTCCACCTGTCTGCTGCACACACTCTGCTGTCCTCTCATTGCTGCGGGTCTATGGTTGGGATTGTTAATGAGTCTAGACATCTGTCATGAATTGTCATAAATGAACTTCCAGGTTTGGGTTGTTAATTAGTTATTTGTGTAACATTGTTTTCTGAAAATCACTCACATTTAACTGGAACCTTTTCAGAAAAAGAGAGTGACCACAAATTATATTCTAGACAAACGGTATTGTGTGTATTATCACAGTTACAACATTGTCATTCCGTGTCAACTCAACCAGAGGTCCCCGGCTCAAATTTTTGAATTTGCTAATATTTTTTCTGAAGAAAGATAAACATGTATAGTGAGCAAAGCCAAAATATTAAATGACGTGGATGAATATTTACTGAGTAATCCACTGTTTTGTAGAGGGGGGGTCAAAATGGCAATTTTCACCTGAGATTCAGAGCCAAATTACAGGTGGTTAAAAATGACTTCAGAAAGATGGCAGCATCATTATGTTGCTTTTACACAGAGATTGGTAGGTCTATTAGTAAAATCTGTTGACTTTAGCCATCTTTTTTGCATTATGTGCCAATGGTGACCATTCAAAAATGGGGAAAGAGCACTTTTCAAGTTTTTTCTCCAAAGTTTGCAGGCCTGTAACTCCAAAAGTATTAAAGATATCTTAATATATTGCTTATATATTGCTAATAGCCAAGAATAAAGCTTGCACAAAACTCACAACCTTGCAATTAAAAAAATGGCAGATGAACTGACTGGGTATTTCATTTGATAATCTTCAAGGATATTATGTATGCTTGCTGTAAACTGTTGCTATATGTAAAAGCAGCATAAAGGTTTTGCTTAAAATCCAATGTTCCAAGCCGTACAGGTTTTTTAACAACATGAGTGTGAGTGGATGATATCTTGTTTAAAAGATAAAAGGGTTGTTTTGGTATACTTGACCTTTTAAAACTGTCCACGTAATAGAATCATGAACTCCACATAAATATTAAGTTCAAAACTAATCCAGGTTTTGAAACCGTTTCACCTGAGCCAGACCGTTGCCCATGCCGTGGATACATTATACATCTGAGGAGAAGTTGAGAACTGGGTGACCTCCAGTACTAAGATCCATTACACAAAGCCGACTTTTATTTAAAGGTCTTGATGGATATTTTCCTCGGGGCCATGACACATTAAATGAAGTTTCCACCCTGCTTAAGGTAGTTCAAGGCGCCAGTGTTTAATTAAAGGATTTCACATGAACAAAATCATTGCTCACATGAGGTCAGGGAGATTCTTTTAGGGTTAAGCCTAAACTGTTTTTGTTGTCATCAGTACCCAAATATTGTTGTTTTGTTTTGTTGTTTTTTTTCCTTTGCTTGTTTTGTTTTTTTGTCTTGTCTTGTCTGTCTTGTCTTGTTTTGCTTTGTTTTCGGTCTTTCACATTCCTCTATGTAGTTTGAAGTGCTGTTTACACTCTTACTCTCAAGGTTTATAAATGGATACTTTTTCTAACATTTCTCTTTTCATACCTCTTCTCCAAAATTCTGTTTCTGGAGTGAACTCTTCTCATAGTTCACATACAGTACACTTGAAGCTGACCTGTTTTATTGATTTTTAGACATGAAGAACATGGGTCAGTTTGTTTTTACTGTGGAAAGCTTTAGGTTGCCTAAAGGTTGCCTTTAGGTTGTGTCAGCACTGGCTGTCTAGTGTGCGATTTACTTTGTCCATCTGCTGTGTAATTTAACCCTTTCACCACAAGTTAGTTTTCTCAGAGCGCGAGTAACTGAAGTAGTGGGGGCACAAAAGACATTATTTGTAGAGGGCCCTTTCATACTAAACAAATGTTTGGTTTTGCTGGAAAGGTCACGTTGGATGGATGAATGGTGTGTTATGCTGCTCAAACATGGCGCTTCACAACTTTGCGAGAAGGGAGTAAATATGGGATTACATCTCTGCCACAATTCTGCTCGCAAAATATATTTTTGAGCGTGATCTGAGTTTTGTGGAAAAATGTTTGTCTCGCAAAGAAGAAAGTATTTTGAGCGCACAAAAATCAATTTTGCATTTAAAATACGTTTTTGGATATGTGCAGACCTCTTTTGCGCGTGCAACGTTTCACTAGCTTGCTTGCATGATGCCGGCCCTCAGTGCTCTCTGAATGCCAACGGCTCCCTTGCTCAACACAACCCAGCGTTACAATATGCCATAATTCCAGCCAATCAGAGATGAGGCTGCTAAATTCTGATTGGTTGCCTTGACAACTAGAGGTCGACCGATGTATCGGTTTTGCCGATTAATCGGCACCAATAGTTGATTGCTGAAACTATCGGTTATCGTCGAAAATCCATGCCGATCGTTTTCCTGGGTTGCGTCCATTGCTGGAGCGGCTGAGAAGGGTCTGCTGTCATTATACAGTGCGAGAGCGGCCTCTAGTGGTTGAAATCATTGACAGCACGTGCTATTTGTTTAGACACGTGATACTGCACGCTGAACAGAGCGGGAAACTTCAGATGGGAATTTAAATGCAGCCGACAGAAAATCCTGCCGCGCCACAGAGCGCCATTCACATAGTTTTCCTTTAAATTACATTATATTGGTCCCGAATCGTTGTTAATGTACATAATGAATTGTGTATTGTGCATTTTCAGCAAAACGTTTGTCTTTCTGTGGCTCTAATAAAGTCTGTGTGCTTCATTTATAGAGCTATAATATAGGTCGCGCTTTCTCTTTCTGTTTGAAACTTCAAACTCATCTATACCAAATTGTTCATTCTTGAAGTAAACTTGTGTCTGTTTGGTGATTAAATAAACTGTTTTAGACCGCTGCTCGAGTTGAACGCGATGCGTCCGGAGTGTGTGATACCGGTGAGTTCTCCTAGACTCAGCTCTGCGCTTTTATTTTGATTAGATAATCATCAAGTGTTCAAGAATAGAAGCAGTTCAAGTCTGAGAGTATACATACAATATCCATATGTATATAATTTTAATGCTATAGCCGTTG